TGTCACCTGGCTGAGCAGGTGGAGGTGTGCAGCCTGTTACCTGGCTGAGCAGGTGGAGGTGTGCAGCCTGTCACCTGGCTGAGCAGCTGGAGGTGTGCAGCCTGTTACCTGGCTGAGCAGGTGGAGGTGTGCAGCTGGAGGTGTGCAGCCTGTTACCTGGCTGAGCAGCTGGAGGTGGGCAGCCTGTTACCTGGCTGAGCAGCTGGAGGCGTGCAGCCTGTTACCTGGCTGAGTAGGTGGAGGTGGGCTGAGCAGGTGGAGGTTGTCAGCCTGTTACCTGGCTGAGCAGGTGGAGGTGTGCAGCCTGTTACCTGGCTGAGCAGCTGGAGGCGTGCAGCCTGTTACCTGGCTGAGTAGGTGGAGGTGGGCTGAGCAGGTGGAGGTTGTCAGCCTGTTACCTGGCTGAGCAGGTGGAGGCGGGCAGCCTGTTACCTGGCTGAGCAGCTGGAGGTGGGCAGCCTGTTACCTGGCTGAGCAGGTGGAGGTGGGCAGCCTGTTACCTGGCTGAGCAGGTGGAGGTGTGCAGCCTGTTACCTGGCTGAGCAGCTGGAGGCGTGCAGCTGGAGGTGTGCAGCCTGTTACCTGGCTGAGCAGGTGGAGGTGTGCAGCCTGTTACCTGGCTGAGCAGCTGGAGGTGGGCAGCCTGTTACCTGGCTGAGCAGGTGGAGGTGTGCAGCCTGTCACCTGGCTGAGCAGGTGGAGGTGTGCAGCTGGAGGTGTGCAGCCTGTTACCTGGCTGAGCAGGTGGAGGTGGGCAGCCTGTTACCTGGCTGAGCAGGTGGAGGTGTGCAGCCTGTTACCTGGCTGAGCAGCTGGAGGCGTGCAGCTGGAGGTGTGCAGCCTGTTACCTGGCTGAGCAGGTGGAGGTGTGCAGCCTGTTACCTGGCTGAGCAGCTGGAGGCGTGCAGCCTGTTACCTGGCTGAGCAGCTGGAGGTGTGCAGCCTGTTACCTGGCTGAGCAGCTGGAGGCGTGCAGCTGGAGGTGTGCAGCCTGTTACCTGGCTGAGCAGCTGGAGGTGTGCAGCCTGTTACCTGGCTGAGCAGGTGGAGGTGTGCAGCCTGTTACCTGGCTGAGCAGCTGGAGGTGGGCAGCCTGTTACCTGGCTGAGCAGGTGGAGGTGTGCAGCCTGTCACCTGGCTGAGCAGGTGGAGGTGTGCAGCTGGAGGTGTGCAGCCTGTTACCTGGCTGAGCAGCTGGAGGTGTGCAGCTGGAGGTGTGCAGCCTGTTACCTGGCTGAGCAGGTGGAGGTGTGCAGCTGGAGGTGTGCAGCCTGTTACCTGGCTGAGCAGGTGGAGGTGTGCAGCCTGTTACCTGGCTGAGCAGCTGGAGGTGTGCAGCTGGAGGCATGCAGCTGGAGGTGGGCAGCCTGTTACCTGGCTGAGCAGGTGGAGGTGTGCAGCCTGTTACCTGGCTGAGCAGGTGGAGGTGGGCAGCCTGTTACCTGGCTGAGCAGGTGGAGGTGTGTAGCCTGTTACCTGGCTGAGCAGCTGGAGGTGGGCAGCCTGTTACCTGGCTGAGCAGCTGGAGGTGTGTAGCCTGTTGCATGCAGCTCTTTATCTAAAGGATAAAATCTATGACGAGTGGATAGTGCCAAAGCAAGGATTACCAGGAGACGGAGAAGGAGCAGTCTACCCTGCCGTCGCTGCCAGACCATGTGGATTTTTGAATGGGAGTGATTGGGACTGCAGAAGGGAGACCAGCGCCAACTTGGCGGCCAGTGCATGGAATGAACATCTTCCGGCAACATCACGGCGTCGTATATTACAAGTCCTATATAAATATACGCCTACTAAATACATCTGAACTAGGTTCGTCGCATTAAAACTGTGTGATACACGTCGCCACCAGTACACCATTGTCAGTGTACCTTTATTTGAACTTTACTGAGTGAATTTAAGACATGTTTTATACAGCCTGTGTTAAATGCTTTTATTCTTGTGGCGGCTGGGAACTCTGCAGTAGCCTGCTGTGCACAGAGTGTGTTGTACTTATTGTTTGGATTCACTGTTATTTTGTCCTATAAAAGTCCACTGAAGAAGATGCTTTCACTATATAGTGGACTCAGCATTTTGTAGTGCTGTCCGAATGTATAGTGATAATTATTACACCCTATATAGTGCACTCAATGTATCCCAGAAGATTCCCAGCGCCGAAATAAGGCTCGGAGTAGTGTCTGAAAGTGTTGTTTTAATAATGCGTTGAGCTCACTATATAGTGCTCTACATACAGCTCCCTACATAGGGGGTAGAGAGTTGTGAATGAGTGGGGATTTCGGATACTGCCACTGTCTTTTTAAAATTGTTAACATTTGAAAACAAAACAACATTTATGGCAGCATCAAATATGGGGAAAATATATATTATCCCAGTTAACAAATTAAAGATGGGACGCTAGAACTTCAAGCTGACCTCATCATGTCATCTATAATACAACAATGTAGCATCCTTTCATGGCCTAATACATTACCAGTTATATTTTTGAAGTTATAGCTATAGTCTATTAACGAATAAATGTAAAAACACACTCAGTCTAACATTTAGATAAGTAAACTCCACAATAATTGAGTTTTTGCAGACCAGGTCCAACGCTAACGAAGTTTTTGGAAGGAAAGGCTATTGCAGATTTCATCCACTAGATGGAGCCATAGCCTTTGTAATGGGCTACAACTACAAAAGAATTTAAGCAGTAATTTTGAACTAACTTGAAGTGCTGTAGTTAAAACCTTTAATTAGATTATGTAGACCATTAACTAAACAAACGTAATACAACCTTGTTCATAACATTTTGACATCGTATTCATTTTTGATATGAGTTTTACAGGCCCTCGTCTTTATAGAATAGGCCAGTGGTCGGCAATAAGCGGCCCGCGGGCCAGAACCAGCCCGCCAGCAGTTATATGTGGCCGCCGTCAGATTGCTTTGACAGCAGAAAAATAAAAAATAAATTGATAGCAACAACTGGTGCTGAAATAGATCTAAGTTATGACAGCTACAGTTAATCACACAATCCCTTTCTGTCAAGTGATTGTGGCTCCAAAATGAAAACGCTTGCAGCAATGCTTTATGTTGAGTTTACTGGAAGCTTTTACCTTGAAGAGTTCTGAAGGACACTCAGTCTCTGGCCTGCTTGACACACCTCTGGGAACATTGTAGAAAGTTGCGTGGCGCTGCAGAGAGCCCCCAGTTGCAGTAGTGCATGGATCATGCACGATAGACTATTCATCCAGTCAACGATCACGAACCGTTCACAGCGTGTCGGCACCGGAGAGGAGGTGAGGCGGACCAGGGACAGGAGATTGTGGAGCGACTGGCCCGCTGCGGTCAGTCAGTGATCGTTTCCTCTGGTGGGATGAAGTCTGACGCTCCGCAAGATTAATGTCAATAAAGCATGCTGTCAATATTTTAGAGTGAACACACCATGCTTTTAGGGGAGCTGATGTCTTATTAGCCCCCCCCCCCCAGTTCGCACCCTGTATGATTGGATTCCCCTGAATTTCCTCAGGGAAATGAAAATAAGCGTCCATAGGTTTATGAATGCGGATCAAACGCCGGTACGCACACACACTGCAGCACATGCTTTATTGTGAGCATGTGCAAAAGTGTCCTCATAATCAAGTAACAAGGGAAAGAAATACGCAGTTATTTGGAATCGGTCTCCCAACCTTCCTAACGGGAGTCCCGCATAGTAAGTACCGACTTAGTTAACATACATGAGTATAAAAGGATTTAAATTAATTAATTAGTTTGAATGTATGTAGTGTATGTCTCTGTGTATGCAGAGAAAGCCCATCAGTCATGTTTTCTAACTGCTTCTTTAGTCGGAACAACATCCAACAAGCCAAAGAGATTCAACTGACCTGATATGAATCTGTGAGGAGCAGCCAATCAGTGAGGAGCAGCTCATATTTGGCATCTGTCCAGCAGAAATGAAGGAAAAGATGAAGTAGTGATGATGAGTTTTCAGTTTTCAGAGCTGCTGTTTGCGGGCAGAATGATGGGCGATAAATTATACATTTAGTGAATTTAATAGGTTAAACCGTCTCCCCTGGAAGAGAGATGCTATGCGCATTTATGCACGAGGCACAGCAGCATTACTTCATATCTAATGTTAAATAATGTTTTGTGTCTCCACATCCTGAAGCTCTCCCACACAGTCCAGGTTCATCCAGAGAAACTGTCTGGAGTAAAGCAGCCGTCCTCCTGATTGATCCTGAGCTGTCTGTCCTGTCAGGTTTTTAACTTAAATGCATAAATGTCCCAGGATATTAGCTGGGACATTACTGTACACATGGAAACCTTTAATTGACCGACAGCGGCCTCTAATCAATAAAGAAAACACTCATCAAAATAAGACAATAACTTAACTACCTGGGAAGCTACAAGGAGCGGTAGAGGTGGAGTAAATCTGAGAAACAATAAGTTGTGTGGAGGATTAGGTGGATGAAACTGAACGTAGCTCCTTTACTCGTTAACAAAAACAGAGCAGTCAGCTGCTGACGTAATATTATTAGACTAACATCAACCAGAGCATTCAGCACTGACCTGCTGGCTTTTTACTGTTGTCATAGTAACAATAGGGCCCATTATTCAGTCTGCACATGTGATTCCAACAGTATTGTCCTGTGATGACAGGCATAGGCTCCATTTCAGATACATTCAGCCCATAGGTGTCAAAAGCTAACAGAACAAAACCTCATCTTTATGTGTGGCTTTCTGAATGAAGAAATCTGACCATATTTCAGCATCCTGCTAACATTTACCGTTTCCATTCAGTGATGCTTTAACCAAAAGATGGCTCTCTGTAACTGAAAGAAGTGTAAGCAGTGTGCCGCTTTAAAATGACCACAGAGAGCAGCAGCAGGAGCTCTGACTGGCCAGACTCTGCACACAAATACTACAAACACAGCTCCTGTGTCGGCCAATCAGAAGTCCTGCTGCTGCTCTGAAACATTTGTGTTACAGTTTTCCTTCAGTTCTAATATACTACCTGACTTTAGCAGGGAGCCACAATGACGAAAAAGGACCTTTTAAACACTCTGGAGGATTTAAGTGACGAGGAATTCACAAAGTTCAAATGGTATCTGAAGCAGCCTGACATCCAGGAAGGATGGAAGGGAACCATCAAAGTGTTTGAGCTGAAAAAGGCAGAAAGGCAGGACACTGTGGATCTGATGGTGAACGCCTATAATCTTCATGGAGCTCTAAAAGTGACCAAGAAGGTTTTGGAGGAGATACCCAGGAAAGACCTGGTGCAGAGTCTGCCAGAAACCAGCTCAGGACCAGAAGGTCAGTTTTATATTATATATGCTTGTAAAGGAACAGGGTCTCTCAGCACAGAAGCTCACTGCGTTCAACAAAGAATAAAGTTTAAGACCTGATCTCATTATTATGAGAAAAGGTTGAGTTTAACATTATTGCCATGTAATGGCTTTATCCATTTCATTTATCCCCTTTTTTATATGACACAATATGACCCATAATCTCAAAGTCTCAGTGGATGTTAGTAAAGTTGGAGAGACTTTAGAGAGCAGAAGACCATCCTCCTCTCAGTGTGAAGGTACAGCTGCTGTAATCTCTGGTATGTATGAAAGACAACATGTAGTTTTTAATTAGAAATAATGAACCATGTCCGGGAACCATCACCTTATTGTGGTGGAGAGGTTTGTGTGCCCCGGTGAAACTGGAGGCTGTGTTGTCTAGAGCCTGGTGCTCCTGGTAGGGTCTCCCAAGGCAAAGTGGTTCCAGGTGAGGGGCCAGACTGAGAATGGTTCTCAGACCCCTGATGTCAATATGAGGAAGAGGAGGAGAGACCCTGCCCAGAGGGAGGGCTCGTCGCCGAGTGCATGGTGGCCACAGAGCCCGGTCGGGCATAGCCCAAAGAAGCATTGTGGCACCCCCCTTTCCATCCTTTGGACCCACCATCCATCGGAAGATCTGCAGGGGTCGGGTGCGCTGCCACATGGGTGGCAGTGAAGGTCAGGGGCCCGCGATGGACTAGACCCAGGTGGCAGAGGCTGGCTCTGGGGACGTGGAACGTCACCTCTCTGTGGGTGTAGGAGCCGGAAATTGTGCGGGAGATGGAGCGCTACCAGTTACATCTGGTGGGGTTGACCTCCACGCACAGTCTCGGTGCTGGAACCATACTGCTTGATAGGGAATGGACATTATTCTTCACTGGAGTTGCTCAAGGTGTGAGGCGCCAGGCGGGTGTGGGGATACTCACAAGTCCCCGGCTGAGCGCCGCTATGTTGGAGTTTACTCCGGTGAACAAGAGGGTCGCCTCCCTACGCCTTCGGGTAGTAGGGGGGAAAACTCTTACTGTTGTTTGTGCATATGCACCAAACAGCAGTTTAGAGTACTCTGCCTTCTTGGAGACCCTAAATGGAGTTCTGTATGGGGCTCCAGTAGAGGACTCCATAGTTCTGCTTGCAGACTTCAACGCGCATGTGGGCAATAATGGAGATACCTGGAAAGGCGTGATTGGGAGGAACGGCCCCCCGATCTGAACCCGAGTGGGTGTTTGTTGTTAGACTTCTGTGCTAGTCATGGATTGTCTATAACGAGCACCATGGTTCAAGCATAAGGATGCTCATAAGTGTATATGGTACCAGAGCACCCTAGGCCGAAGATCGATGACCAATTTTGTAATCGTTTCATCTGATTTGAGGCTGCATGTTTCGGACACTTGGGTGAAGAGCGGGGCAGAGCTGTCAACTGATCACCATCTGGTTGTGAGTTGGGTCAGGGGGTGGGGGATGACTCTGGACAGACCCGGTTAGCCCAAACGGGTAGTGCGGGTGAACCGGGGCCCCTGTCCGAGAGATCTTCAACTCAAACCTCCGGCAAAGCTTTTCTGGCATCCCTGTGGAGGTTGGGGACATTGAACACGAGTGGGCAATGTTCAAAGCCTCTATTGCTGAAGCCAGAGTGGAAGGCTGTGGTCTCAAGGTCTTAGGTGCCTCAAGGGGCGGTAACCCTCGAACACCGTGGTGGACACTGGTGGTCAGGGAAGCCGTCCGACTGAAGAACGAGACCTTCTGGGATTTGTTGTCTCGGAGGACTCTGGAGGCGGTGGCAAGGTACCGACGGGCTCGAAGGGCTGCAGCCTCTGCTATGGCAGATGCAAAGCAGCGGGTGTGGGAGACGTTCGGAGAAGACATGGAGAAGGACTTTCGGTCGGCACCAAAGTGTTTCTGGAGAACTGTCCGCCATCTCAGGAGGGGGAAGCGGGGAACCGTCCAAGCTGTGTAAAGTAAGGATGGGACCCTGTTGACCTCAACTGGGGAGGTAATTGGGCGGTGGAAGGAACACTTTGAGGAACTCCTAAATCCGACTGACACGTCAATTTCCCTGAAAGAAGTCACTGAGGCAGTCAAACAACTCCACAGTGGCAAAGCCCCAGGGATTGATGAGATCCACCCAGAAATGCTAAAAGCTTTGGGTGTGGTGGGGCTGTCTTGGATGACACATCTCTTTAACATTGCGTGGAAGTCAGGTACAGTGCCCAAGGAGTGGCAGACTGGGGTGGTGGTTCCCCTGTTCAAAAAGGGGGACCGGAAAGTGTGTGCCAATTACAGGCGTATCACACTTCTCAGCCTCCCCGGTAAAGTCTACTCCAGGGTGCTGGAACGGAGGGTTTGGCTGATAGTCGAACCTCAGATCGAAGAGGAACAATGTGGTTTTTGTCCCTATCATGGAACAACTGACCAGCTCTTTACTCTCAGGATCCTTGAGTGGGCTTGGGAGTATGCCCATCCAGTCTACATGTGCCTTGTGGATCTGGGCAGCCCCCTAGAGACCCTGCACAGAAAAAAAAACAATGTCGAGAACGCCAAGTATCGCAGAGACCAAAATCGTTCATGTATTGTTTAAGGGTCTCTGTTGATTTCCAAATACGGTGACTGCCTGCCATACTGAGCCTGTCAACTGCTGAATTACATACAAGGTTGAAGTCCCCTCCTATTATAAGAGCTGTGTCTGTGTGAGCAGAGATTGAGGTGAAAAAAGAATGATAAAAGGAGGGGTTGTCAACATTCGGGCAATAGATGTTAGCGATGCATAAATGGGTATTTTGAATAGAAATGTTAACAATAATAAAATGATCCTCTGGATCTATAGTATAGGTATTATGATTGAAGTGTGTTTTTCTATTTATCATAATGGTGACACCTCTTTGTTTTGAGTTATAACAGGCTGAGTACGAGTGAGGAAACTGTGGTGAGGTTAGTTTATCTGCTGTCTTGGATAAATGACTCTCCTTTAGTAGGACAATGTCTGCTTGCAGATTATTTAGATGGTTAAAAAATTTTAATCTGTTTCCTGTTGCACTCTTAAAAACAGGACAAGCACCGTTGGGCAAGTAAGAGTTTGCAGCAGTGAGCTAATACTGTATTTTCTTTATCATATTTATCTTAAATTTATTTAATAATTTTTCTGCAGTTTTGCAGATTTCTGGGGGGATGGAGTTCTAGAGGGTGGGGGCTGCCATGCTGAAGGCTCTCTCACCAAGGTCTGCAGTCTGGTGTGGGTACGGAGAGCAAGGCTTTGTCCATGGACTACAGGTTCTGGGACTGAGGGTAAGGGTTGAGAAGGTCCAGGAGGTATTGAGGACAATGGCATGGAGGGATTTATAGGTGAGGAGGAGGATTTTGTAGGTAATGCAGAATTTGACCGGGAGCCAGTGAAGCTGAGTGAGGAAAGGGGTGATGTGCTGCCACGGCCTAGTGTGATTGAGAACACTAGCAGCCGAGTTCTGTACATATTGTAGCCTATCCAGGAACTTGCTTGCTACCCTGTACAGGACACCATTGCAGTTTTCCAAGCGGTAGGTAATGAAGGCATATATGACTCTGCCAAAGAGTCTGAGAGTGAAGGTTGAAGTCTAGAGATGTTCTTAAGGTGGTAGAATGCTGACTTAGTAAAGAGTTTGACATGTGACTGGAATGAGAGGGTGCAGTTCAAAATGACACCAATGTTGTTGACTTTTTGGGATAGGGAGATGGAACACCCATCCAGGAGGAGCTACTCCCATTATCTCTGCTTTGCTGCTGTTCGAGTAGGTTAGACTTTTTTTTTTTTAATTCAGGCAGTTAATAAGTGATAGAGATGTGCGAGGGTGTAGCTAGAGGGTTGGGGGCAGATGGCTGCAGTTGTTGGTGGAAGTCCAGGAATTTGGAGCAGAGGTTAGGGGCATCAAAGGGGCTGGGGAATCACGTGAACGGAGTAACCAGTTTATAGTGGAGATGAGCATTCTGGGTTGGTTTTGCTGCTTACCAATGAGGATGGAGTAATGTGTTTTGGCCAGAGTCCAGGCTGAGCGATAAACCTGTATTATATTTGTCGTCAAGACCATCCAACCTGAAATCCTGGGGATCTCGGGCCAGGTGGGTAGCTATGATGTTGGTCAGGGTTGATGCATTAACCGACTTGATGCTCCTGAATGTGATGGTACGTTTGAGCTGTTACCTGGGCAAAAAGACAGGAACATAGAAAAGGATGGCACTGTGGTTGCATACACCTAGGTTTATGCATTGCAGGTTGGAGGAAGTGGTACCAGTGGAACACACTAGATCCAGTGTCCAGAACCTTGGTGTGAGTCGACCATTTGACATTCTGAATGATGTTGAGGTAGTCCAATAGTGACAGGAATTCAGCAGCAAAGGGACAGCTGTTAGCGTCCACATGGACATTGAAGTCCCCAAGCAGGAGTGTAGATGGAGACATGGAGCAGGCGGAGATGAGTAACTCTGATAGCTTCAATATTAAGGTAGTGGGGGTTTTGGGGAAAGCATATAAATGTCTATAAATGAATGTACTTTACTAGTCATCCTTACTGTCCCTACTTTCATCATTCGCAGACCAGTATGACTGTGAAAGTTATTCAACTTCATTCTTTGTGGTAAAGGTCATTTTGTTTTTTGATGAATGCTGCAGAAACACTGAACATGTATAGAATCAGAAGCGGCCTCTTCTCTACTGACAGAAGTGGCTTCAGGCTGAAGTCGATACAAAGATGGGACTGGTTCATCATGACAGACTAAGATGATGATCTTTGTTGTGTGTTCGTTCAGGAAATCCTGTTGCAGTCTGTCAGCGTAAACTTAAATCCAACCTGAAGAAGAAGTTCCAGTGTGTGTTTGAGGGGATTGCTAAAGCAGGAAACCCAACCATTCTGAACCAGATCTACACAGAGCTCTACATCACAGAGGGAGGGACTGCAGAGGTCAATGATGAACATGAGGTCAGACAGATTGAAACAGCATCCAGGAAACCAGACAGACCAGAAACAACCATCAGACAAGAAGACATCTTTAAAGCCTCACCTGGAAGAGATGAACCAATCAGAACAGTGATGACAAAGGGAGTGGCTGGCATTGGGAAAACAGTCTTAACACAGAAGTTCACTCTGGACTGGGCTGAAGACAAAGCCAACCAGGACATACAGTTCACATTTCCATTCACTTTCAGAGAGCTGAATGTGCTGAAAGAGGAAAAGTACAGCTTGGTGGAACTTGTTCATCACTTCTTTCCTGAAACCAAAGAAGCAGGAATCTGCAGCTTTGAAGAGTTCCAGGTTGTGTTCATCTTTGACGGTCTGGATGAGTGTCGACTTCCTCTGGACTTCCATAACACTAAGATCCTGACTGATGTTACAAAGTCCACCTCAGTGGATGTGCTGCTGACAAACCTCATCAGGCGGAAACTGCTTCCCTCTGCTCGCCTCTGGATAACCACACGACCTGCAGCAGCCAATCAGATCCCTCCTGAGTGTGTTGACATGGTGACAGAAGTCAGAGGGTTCACTGACCCACAGAAGGAGGAGTACTTCAGGAAGAGATTTAGAGATAAGAAGCAGGCCAGCAGCATCATCTCCCACATCAAGACATCACGAAGCCTCCACATCATGTGCCACATCCCAGTCTTCTGCTGGATCACTGCTACAGTTCTGGATAAGGTGTTGAAGACCAGAGGGGGAGCAGAGCTGCCCAAAACCCTGACTGAGATGTACATCCACTTCCTGGTGGTTCAGTCCAAACTGAAGAACGTCAAGTATGATGGAGGAGCTGAGACAGATCAACACTGGAGTCCAGAGAGCAGGAAGATGATTGAGTCTCTGGGAAAACTGGCTTTTGAGCAGCTGCAGAAAGGCAACCTGATCTTCTATGAATCAGACCTGACAGAGTGTGGCATCGATATCAGAGCAGCCTCAGTGTACTCAGGAGTGTTCACACAGATCTTTAAAGAGGAGAGAGGGCTGTACCAGGACAAGGTGTTCTGCTTCGTCCATCTGAGTGTTCAGGAGTTTCTGGCAGCTCTTCATGTCCATTTGACCTTCATCAACTCTGGTGTCAATCTGCTGGCAGAACAACAAACAACATCCTGGTGGTACTACATGTTTGGAGGCAAATCGACACCTTTCTACCAAAGTGCTGTGGACAAGGCTTTACAGAGTCCAAATGGACACCTGGACTTGTTCCTCCGCTTCCTCCTGGGACTTTCACTGCAGACCAATCAGACTCTCCTAAAAGGACTGCTGACACAGACAGGAAGTGATCAGGTAACAGTCGAGTACATCAAGAAGAAGATCGAAGAGACTCCCTCTGCAGAGAAAAGCATCAATCTGTTCCACTGTCTGAATGAACTGAATGATCGTTCTCTAGTGGATCAGATCCAACAGTCCCTGAGTTCAGGAAGTCTCTCCACAGAGAAACTCTCTCCTGTTCAGTGTTCAGCACTGGTCTTCATCTTACTGTCATCAGAAAAAGACCTTGACGTTTTTGACCTGAAGAAATACTCTGCTTCAGAGGAGGCTCTTCTGAGGCTGCTGCCAGTGGTCAAAGCCTCCAAGAAAGCTCTGTAAGTGGGATTTATTCATCAACAAATACTCTATCTATCGAAATGTGTTATTACTTGTCTCCTTCCTGTACCCTCTCCAGATTGAGTGGCTGTAACCTCTCAGAGAGAAGCTGTGAAGCTCTGTCCTCAGTTATCAGCTCCCAGTCTAGTCTGAGAGAACTGGACCTGAGTAACAACAACCTGCAGGATTCAGGAGTGAGGCTGCTGTCTGCTGGACTGGAGAGTCCACACTGTACACTGGAAACCCTGAGGTCAGATCAAGTTACATTTTGTCTTAAATTGTTTATTTCTCAAAATTTTAAGCTGCATTTAATTTAAACAACCTCTCCCCTTTTACAGTATAGACTGTGTTTAAATGGATGTGATTGAATGCCTTAAAAAGACAGTACCTTTCATCACTGCTCTGCCGAGCTGCTGAGCAACATTAGCGTAGTGAGTGATACAGACTGAAACTGTAAGTTGTTAGTGACTGTTAGTCGCTACTTAAGCTACATTTACTTGAGTTAAAGGAAAGGGAATATTTTAGTTGGCTATTGGAAACCCTAGTCTTGGTAGTGTGAATGCCATTAATATTACCTATCTCTAGTAGCCAATTTCAAAAAAATATCAGTCCCCACAGAATGTTGTTGTGAGTAAAAACTTAATGTCATAATGTCCCTGTTAATGCTGGTGTATTGGTATATCATTAAATTAATTGGCCAGATGGATTTTAGTCTGTAGTCCAGAAGTCTCTAGTGGTATATAGGTCAGTAGTGGTCTAGTGGTTTATAGGTCTGAGGAAATGTAGGCTGTTTTGTTTCCTTCTAACAATTTTCGTTATAACATAATAACATTTGTTGGCAGGTCTAGGCAGCAAGGCAAACCCTAAACTACATTATTTCATGATATTTATTATATTTGCAAATTTTTGACCAATTTAACTTTCTCCATTTATTGCCTGTAATAAATTAGCAATTAAAAAAGTATGTAAAAGCAATCATACATACATGCATCCATTCATATGGTAATCATTACTTAAAATCTTTCCCATCAGGTTATTAAATTCAGACATTGGCCACTTTAAATATGATCCTTATCAACAGCTTACAAATGTGGGCTTGTATGTAAGCCATACTACAGAGCAAAATCACACTCTGATTGAACCAATTCACAGTGCAGTAAGAGTAATTAGTTTAATTCAATAGCATTCTTTGGACCTGCAACTTATTTAACAGAGAGAGGAATTAAACATGGGCTGTTCGAAACGGGCTAAACTGCTGTTTCAGAAGGTGTCTAACAGGACAGCGAGGCATCGAGTGCCATTCAAAACTGCTTGAACGATCTCTTTATTTCTCCTGAAATGCCTTCAAGCTGCCCCAGTAACAGCCAGTTTTGAAGGCAGCATCAATGATGACTTGATGCTGACTATTGCCCATGGAGCAGCAAATCTGCGGCCGCCGGAGTTTTTGAAAATTGATCAAGATGGCGGACAAACGAGCCAAATTTGTACACAAATATATAAGTTTTTAAAGGTTTTTAGTAGTTTTCTTGCTTCGATTTTTGAAAATCTAGCGAGAACTAAACACTGAAATATCATATTAGCCCGTGACTGTAACCAACCAAGTTTGTTCAGTATGATTACTGAGGCGTCTGTTAGCCGTTTGGCTTTTCAATAGCTAGTTAGCTTATGCTAAGGCTAGAGGCAAGACGGCGTGCTGCCGTCACACGTTGCCGTAAGTGCTGCCCTGGAAGACTGTTTGAAACTAATGTAAACAGGGCTGCCTTCACTTGAAAGTGATGCCTTCTGAGGCAGCTGTCTTTCAGGGTATCGAGGCAGCAAGGCAACTGCCTTCCGTTTCGAATACAGCCATGGTATTACTTTATCACACATTTACATGAACATTACATGGATAGCATTTAAGTCGCAGCCTAAAGAAGAACTCAATCTGGCCTAAGTAAACTCCCACCACGCAGCATTAATGTGTCTCAAAGCAACATTATAGTAACTTTAATTCAACAGAGGAAAAATGGAAGAAGAGAATATGTCTGTCACTTTTTACCTGTTAGCATCTTGGCTTCTTTACTGGTTGTTAATATAATAGGGTAGTTCTAGTACAGTAACAAAGATGTTAGTGCAAAAATTTTGCAAGTGCAAGTTACGCATACCCTGAGGGCTAAGCCCCCCTGTCTTTCAAACCTAGTGACGTCCCTGTCAGTACTATTTGTGTATCTTTCACCGCAGTAAGTAACTTTACTGTAGTGTAGGTGAATGGCTCTTCCTCTGTGTTGATGTCGTCGTTTTGTTACAGTATTGTATATTATGTGGGTCACATTAGTTACAGCGGCTGAGACGGCGGACAAGCTGTGTACCTGAGTATCTGTGAAAAGACAATCTAAATTGAATGTTACGAATTAAACAGCTGCAGGTCCGAGCTAATGTAGCGTTAACTTGCTGCAATGCCTGCATCACTATAGGCTAGTAAAAAAATTGCTCCACATTTGCTGACTCTCTCCGCAAAACAGCCTTTCTGATGACCTTTCTGACCTTTATTGTTGTTTTTTATCCTTACGGGGTGTTTGTGTTGGAGTCTGTGTTGTGTTGGGATGCACAAGGTTGTTTGTGGTGTTAGTGGACTGCATTTTTTTAGCTGCGGTGTTGTTGCTGTAGTGGGAGAGAGACTCAGGGCTACATCCCTACCCGGTGTCCTCACATAAACAGGTGTGTTCTTCATTTCTAAGTGAGGATAGAGCCCATTGACTAAAAGAAAGTAAAAATTTGATTTATTAATAAGTAATTTCATTGAAAACCTACATATAGCCCTGCTGCTTCACAACATCATTGGTCCCTATGTTCAGTATGATGTTTATTGTTGGATGTGCAGCCACGATATGCAAGAGACCATATTCTTGGGGATTTTGGTATTCTTACTGTACATGCTTCTGACATCTTTTACAATCAGAGTTAGAGGCCCAGTTGTTAGGTTTCCCTATAGCCTTTTACTTTGTGATTTACTCTAAACTCTTACCCAGTAGTGTGAGGATGGGATGTTTTCCAGGTCATCAGATGGAAATGGAAATGCTCCGTATTTGTATAGTGCCTAAGTGCTCAAACAGAAATTTACATTCACACACTGGCGGAAAAACCACCCGGGGCAATTTGGGGTTCAGTAACAGGCTTGTCGAAGTGTCCTTTGACAAGCCTGATACTGGACCCCAAATTGCCCCTGGAGGAGCCGGGGATGAACCGCTGACATACCGATCAATAGGCAACCCGCTCTAACTCCTGAGCCACAGTCAATCCAGTAGTACAGCTCTGGTCTCCTGTTGCACACTTGATTGTTGGGAAGGTTTGTTGCTAACCTCCCCTTTCACATGACATCAAACATGAGACACCAGGGGCTTAACACACTGACTTAGTAGCAAAAACAGTGCGTTCACAGGGTGAAAAGAGGTGCTGCAGCAATTTGCAGTATGACAAAAATATGGCGTTTTTTTATAATTAAACCATGTAAACCCATTATGTTACAACCACTGCATACAATTATGAACCAAAAATGAGCATAATATGACCTATTTAATATCTACGTTGGTGGATATAAAGCTAAGCTGTGTAGGATTGTGTTTGCTGAATATGATTTGTCAAGGACCTTTCCATGAAGATGTATCGTGATTTTCTGTTGTTCAGTCTTTTGTTGTTCAATCAATAAACATCACCAATGATTCTAAAGTTGCTTTCTGAGTTAGTTTCTGAACCTAAATGTACCTGAAGAAACAAACAAAAAGCATACCGTCTCTTGTTCTCAGAGGGTTCCTGTTTGTGTTGGTTTATGTGTTCGCAGGCTGTCAGGCTGTCAGATCACAGAGGAAGTCTGTGTTTCTCTGGCCTCAGCTCTGAGCTCCAACCCCTCCCATCTGAGAGAGCTGGACCTAAGCTATAATCATCCGGGAGACTCAGGAGTGAAGCTGCTGTCTGCTGAACTGGAGGATCCACGCTGGAGACTTGACACACTCAGGTATGAAGAGGCTTGCGTCAACCACTGACAGTCAATTTGATAGAGGTGGTCTTTTTGTTTATGAGTGTAATATGAACTGTCACACATGTAGGAAGCCTTTTTTCAATTCAATTTTATTTCTATAGCGCCAATTCACATTAACAGTGATCCAATAGCTCTTTTTATATAAAGCAGCTCTTTGTGCTATTAATTACAGAGACCCAACTACTCCCACCATGAGCAAGCACTTGGCAACAGAGGCAAGGAAAAACTCTTTTAAGAGACATAAACCAAAAGAGAGAGAGAGCGAGGGAGAGAGAGAAAAAGTGTTACAGACATTAAAATGACTAATGGTACAGACATTTATAGTAATGTTAATGATGATAATAACGATAATAATAACAATAAGACTGGTAATAACAATTCTAGCAGTGGGTGTCGAGCAGGAACACGGGGGCAGCAGGTGACCCGCAACCACAGATCCAGACTCCACAGCTCCAGAGCCAGAAAACCTGCAGGAAGTGATAGGAGGAGAGAGGAGAGGGACGAGAAAGCACAAGACTACCAGAAAGGGGAGAAGTTGTGTTAGTAACATGCAATAATGGATAAGATTGCATACAGAGGGAGAGAAAGTAGAGGAGAGAGGAGCTCAGTGCATAATAGGAAATCCCCTGGCAGTCTAGGCCTATAGCAGCATAACTAAGGGATGGTTCAGGACTCACCTGAGCCAGCCCTAACTATAAGCTTTATCAAAGAGGAAAGTCTTAAGCCTACTCTTAAATGTGGAGATGGTGTCTGCCTCTTGAACCCAAACTGGAACCTGATTCCACAGGAGAGGAGCTTGATAGCTGAACGCTCTGGCTCCTAGTCTACTTTTGGAGACTCTAGGAACCACAAGTAACCCTGCATTCTGGGAGCGCAGTGCTCTGGTGGGGTAGTAAGGTACTATGAGCTCTTTAAGATAAGATGGTGCCTGACCATTAAGAGCTTTGTAGGTAAGAAGAATCATTTTAAATTCTATTCTGGATTTTACTGGAAACCAATGCAGAGAAACTAAGACAGGAGAAATGTGATCTCTTTTCCTGGTTCCTGTCAGAACACGTGCAGCAGCATTCTGAATCAGCTGAAGAGTCTTAATGGACTTTTTCGAGCAGCCTGATAATAAGGAATTGCAGTAATCTAGCCTAGAAGTAACAAATGCATGGACTAGTTTTTCTGCATCATTTTTAGACAGGATGTTCCTGATTTTCGCAATATGACGTAGGTGAAAAAAGGCGGCCCTTGAAATTTGCTTAATGTGAGACTTAAACGACATGTCCTGATCAAAGATAACTCCAAGATTCACACAGTGGTGCTGGAGGTCAGGGCGATGCCATCAAGGTAAACTATATCTTTAGATAATGCGTCATGAAGCTTAGGCCCCAGAACAATAACTTCAGTTTTATCTGAGTTTAACATTAGATAATTACAGGTCATCCAGGTTTTAACATCCTGAAGGCACATTTGAAGTTTAGCTAACTGATGAGTTTCATCTGGCTTGATTGATAGATATAATTAAGTATCATCTGCATAGCAATGAAAGTTTATGGAATATGTCCTAATAATATTGCCTAGAGGAAGCATATATAAAGTGAAGAGGATTGGTCGGAGGACAGGTCCTTGAGGAACTCCATGACTAAATTTGGCGTGCATGGAGGACTCATCGTTAACAAGGTCTACCCCGTTAAACTTTGCAGTTTTCTTAAATTGGATACTTTAATTTCAATTTCATCTTTTAAAACTATTATATCATCTTTGTTCACGGCCACTTGCAGTTGCTTCTCTACGTAATAATTTTTGTGTTGTCTACTGTGTTGTTTCTAATTGTATTTTATGTATTTGCTAAAACTGTATGCATTTCTAATGTACTGTATTTATTTCAGCCCAATTTCCTTTGTGGTTACCCCACTTGTCAGGCCGCCATTGTAAATAAGAACTTGTTCTTAATGACTTGCCTGTAAAAATAAAGAATAAAAAATGAATAAAAGCAGGAAGGGGAGGGGCTGCAACACAAGTTACTCAGAAAATGGAATAAGTTACTAGGTACTCCTTGTACCTCCTGTTTTTCTGCACATGTAGCCTGTTTCTAAGAGCAGGATTCAGTGCTTTTACAACCCGACGAGTCCAACATCAGTGACAGTAGCTGCAGAGTTTCTTTCTATAAGTTTCACGTTGCTGCTGCAGCAGATGCTTCAATAAATCAGATGGAGAAATGTTGAGTTTACAATGGACGACATGTTCGTTGCATCTGTGACACAATAACAGCAATAATTACAGGTGTGGAAAGAACATCTCTCTTCCTCATTCTCACTTCTTCCTTTTACTTTACATTAGCTTCTTGGTTAACAGCTGACCGGTATCACTGACCTGCCCCCCAGTAGTGCATTCACGCCAAGCATGGTGCGTTCAGCAGTGCAGTAATGCAGTGTTACTTGGATTAGTAACTGTAGTAATGTTTTGGAAATAGTAATCCGTTACACTATTGTTATTGGGAAAATGCATAAATGTAAAATGAGAAAAGTAATATTAGTACAGTTCCTGCCCAACTCTGCTAACAGTAGCCTAGCTATGAAATGAGTTTGAACTTAATGTTAGAATATTATACTAATAGAAATAATTTATACTCCACAGATTCTGTGCAACCAAATAAAGATTTTTAATAACAATGAAATAATAGTGACAAACAAAAGTCAACCAGCAACAGAAACTAGTTCCTTTAAAAAGAGAAAGCAAGCAGGTAACAAGATTGAAGTGAAAGCAGAAGAGTGAAAGAGTTTGAAGCCCCTCCCTCCTTTGAGGGAGTAAACAGGAGCACACAGCTCCACACTGCTGTCTGACTGCTCCACTGACTCCTCTCTAGTAGGCCTACTTATTCTCTCGGGGGGATGAGAGGAATGTAATGTCCATGTTTGATGCTGCTCTGACCCCCCTCCTCCTTTCAGGGTGGAGCCTGCTGGAGTCCGATGGTTGAGACCAGGTCTGAGGAAGTGTAAGTGTGTTTTTCATTTGATTCATGAAAACATTCAACCATCTTCAGACTCATCACTCATTCAAAGTGCCAATCAATGAACAGATGATAGATCAATAACTGCAGCTGGATTGTGTCTCGTTCTCTCATCAGACTCCTGTGAACTCACAATCGACACAAACACAGTACACAGAAAGATCAAACTGTCTGACAACAACAGGAAGGCGACATGTGTGGAGGAGGTTCAGTCATATCCTGATCATCCAGACAGGTTTGACTGCTGGCTTCAGCTGCTGTGTAGAGATGGTCTGACTGGTCGCTGTTACTGGGAGGTCGAGTGGAGAGGAGCAGTTTATATATCAGTGAGTTACAGAGGAATCAGAAGGAAAGGAGGCAGTAAAGACTGTGTGTTTGGATGGAATGATCAGTCCTGGAGTCTGAGTTGCTCTGTTGGTGATTACTCTGTCTGGCACAATAAGAGCGAAACATCCATCTCCTCCTCCTCCTCCTCCTCCTCCTCCTCTAACAGAGTAGCAGTGTATGTGGACTGTCCTGCTGGCTCTCTATCCTTCTACAGAGTCTCCTCTGACACACTGATCCACCTCCACACCTTCAACACCACATTCACTGAACCTCTTTATCCTGGATTTGTGCTCTGGTGGCCTGGTTCCTCAGTGAGTCTGTGTTCTGTGTAGGAGGGAGAGTCTCCTCCTGGTAGAGAACAGATCAGTTGAGTCTGTTCAGGATCACAGAAATCTTTCAGCTTCTTGTAATAAATCCATCAATGAACTTTGTACAAAGTGATTCAAAGTGATTGAACAGATTCCTCATTTCCATTGTAAACTTCTCTGTTATATGTTTTTTCAAGGTGGTATGAGATTTTTGAAGGTGCTCCTGTCCTGTGACTTTTTAAGGTGCTTCAAAGTGTAAAAGTAGTTTTAATATTTGTTGCTGGTTAAGAGCTTTTAAGGTGGTATTTAAGTTTAACATGGTGTTAGTACTTTTCACATTTTAAGGTGGTATTAAGGTGGTATTATTATGTTTAAGAAAGTTATATCGTTTTTAAGGTGGTATTAGTATGTTTTAGAGAGTTATAGGTTTTTTAAAGGTGGTATTAAGTTTTTGAAGGTGGTCCTGTTGTGTGATTTTAAAGGTGGTATAAAGTTTAAAAGTGGTTTTAGTGTTTGTTACTGGTTAAGAGGTTTTAAGGTGGTATTTAAATGTAACATGGTATTACTACTTTTGACATGGTTTTAAGGTGGTATTAGTACAGTACATTTAAGAAAGTTATATGGTTTTTAAGGAGGTGTTAGGTTTTTGAACTTGGTCCTGTGGTCCTGTGAGTCTTAACATGGTATAAAGTTTAAAGGTGGTTTTAATGTTTATTGTGGGTTTAAAGGTTTTTTAGGTGGATGTGGTTTCTGTCTGGGTGTCCCAGCTGGATCCAGACCGTTTTGGCTCCTCCCCCTCCGGGTCCCAGCCTCCCTGGTTGCATACCCTGCCGGTCCGACTGTCTCGAGTGCAGCGAGTTCGCAGAAACAAAGAAAAATCAGCTAATAAAATCTCCACTAGAGTAGAAGGTAAACTCAGCGGAGGTTTCTGAAACAGAAGAAATCCTGAAGATGGGACGTCAGCGTCCTCAGTGGGAGCTACGCTCCTGTTTCCTTTGGATGTTTGAAGCTCAGAGATGTGAACATGAGGACTGACTGATGTGGACTCCTAGAGGAAGAAGCAGAGGGGTTACTGCCCTCGTCAATCTGAGTCACTACAACACTACGTTACACTGAGGTGTGGCCAACGTTCTCCAGAAGGGTCCGGCTGCGGACTGTAGCTCAGGGGGCGGGGCGAGAGCACGGGGTGTGGCGTGAGCGCGGGTAGGTCAAAGTTCATCAGACTAGAAGGCAATAACATAAAGTAATGGCGCAGAAGAAGCAGCAGGTAGGTAATCACGGCTCAGTGCAGCAAAAGATGAACTTATGATGTTGTTGGACAAATAAGTAAAATTATTTTTTAAATAAAAGTTATTCATTTCAGCTGTTTAACATTGTTAATATAAATAATCATATCATCTGTAAAAATAAGCATTTTATTAAAGCTTCAGTAGGTAACTTCAGTAAAAATGTATTTGTTACATATTTGTTAAAACTGTCACTATATCCTGACAGGAGAATATGAAACAAATAATAAATCTGTGAAAAAAAGAAATTTCATCACTACTTTGTTCTTCTATTTCAGTTTGAGCTGCTTCCACATCTGTTCTAGACAGAATTGCACCTAAATGAAAACATTACATGTTAAATCTCGTTCCACTTGTTCCACCTGGAATATTAGAACTGTGATTCCATAGAAATGAACTTTTTAAAGAGAATATCTGTTCAACTCTCCACATTTTCTGCCTGAGGATTTCCAACTCCCGACGGGTGAAGTATGAGGAAGGATTTTTTTAGCTGTTGCCATGGTGAACGGCAGTATCGTGGCTCCATTCATGCTGCCTGTTTAGAGTGGTGGTGCCCACGCTTAGTTGAGAGTGAACCTACTCTGAGCTGATTGAACAAACTCAGATCAGCTGTTCTGGAGCCGGAAACTCAACAGTTTCCCATCTCAGGGGAAATAAACTGATCAGAATTGATTCTTTATTAATATGGATTGTCTGTTATGGAGCATTAGGGAGTTCCAAAACTCACTTTCACTCTACGTGTTGGATTGTGACAATAAACCTGCCTACCTAACTTGGAGCTCACTGTTAGAGTTTTTTGAACCTGCTTTATGACTATAATGTTTTTTTGCAAAATGTTTATTGGATGTAAATGTAATATTGATTGTATTTGTTTAAAATGTCTTGGCCCTTATGGTGACAACATGAAAAACAAACTCATATTGCATAGTTTTTATATAGACTACATCATGAATGTTATCCTAATTACTAATATTACATATATTTTATTAAATAAACTTCATATGTTCAGCCATTTTGATTTCTGATTCTCTCTCTAAGACTCAATCATTTTCAGACTAAGACTTTGATCTACATAAATTTACAAGTAATGATGAAGGCACAGAGAATCCAAACAGCTGAATGCTCCTCATCAGGTTTCTGAGCTCCGTGTTTGAAATATTTCAGAGGACAGTAGCACATTTTTAGTGAGTCTCTGCTTCTGAACTTGCTTACAGATGTGCGCACGCTCGCTTTTAGAAGTCTGAATATTTTTTGTCTTTTTGGCGCACGGACACTTTCAGTGAGGATTCTACGCACAGTTTTCTAAACGAGGCCCCTGGAAAGCAGCATGTGCAGTCCCTTCAGTCAGGAGGCTCCTGTTCAGAACAACTTCATCAACAGCACTGACTAAAGAAGAAAACGCGGTGGGTTTTTGTTCCTAAACTCTCCAGCAGAGGTCAGTGTTGCTCCACTGATCTGCTGTGTTGTTAACTCATGAGTGTACAGCTGTGTGTTCTCTCCTCCTCGACACTCTGGAAACAGGAAGATTGAAAGAGCGTGCGATACATATTAACTCTGTGTGAACGACTCAGCTTACCCGTCCTCAGGTAAAGTCCAGGCTCTGGCAGACCACTCCAGGTCCCACAAGCCTCCCTGATGGAACTGTTCTCACTGAGTTTGACACCATCGAGGTCTTTGAATGTTTTCTTCTGTTCATATCTGGCTTTTAACATGTGATGTGGCCCCGAAAGGATGTTTTAATCCAGTCTGTGCTGTTTTTATGGATCATTTGCAGCTGGAAAATAGCAGCGGTGGACGAAGGATTCAGATCCTTTACAGTAAAAGTACAAATACCTCACTGTCAAAATACTCTGTTAGTCAATTGGATGATTGAAGTGTGAAGAAACAGACATATTTCTTCATTTAACACACAGAAGCGTCAGCAGCGTGTGAAGAAGCATCCACAGCCACAACAGCCTGGCAGCTCCTCATGCTGCTCAGCAGCCTGCTCACACACTGCTGTCAGATACTGTCAGATACTACAAGCAGAGGAAGAAGACGGCATTACTGGAAGAAGCATTTCTGATTTCAAATGCTGGCTGAAGAATGGGATGCCATCCCAAAGCAGTGTGTGCCAAGAAGCACTGTTACAACAAAGAAACACATTTCATCTGACACTAACTAGCTAGCGTGGTTAGCGCCGCGCACATGTTCAGATCCTAAAAACAGAAGGAGCGACGACACCATCTTCTCCCACACCTGGACTTGAACCTGAACCATCTGGACGGGAACCAGGAGTCCTGACCGCAGGACCATTTGGGCCAACAGTACAAAGAGTTCTTGTTTAATTGTAAATGATTAGACCAGCAGCTCGACAACCAAATGATTAGAAAGTCCATCATCCAGAGTTTCCTCTCCAGACTGATGGAGGTGGATCTTCTGCAGGTTCCTTCCTCAGTCTGATCTTCTTCCTCTCTCTGCTTGTTGGTCTCCATTGGTACTGAAGACGGTCCGGTGGTGAAGGACGCTGACCGGTGACCTGGAGACGTGGGTTCAAACCTCGGCTCGGACTCTCTGAGGTACGTGATGAAACTGTGTGATTGTGTGTGTCTGTGTTCATTCACATTCAAACCCACCGAAATCGCTTGCGTACATTTCCCGTTGCGAATTTCTGCCGTTGTCTGACTGCAACACAGCCGACCTTCAAGGAACCGAGGAACAGGTAAGTAAGTAAGGTGAGTCCAGCTAGCTGGCTTGATGAAAGCCGGCTAGCTTACTTCTTCATTATTTTTTATTTTACCAAAGAAAGAACGTAAGAAAGAAGGTCCAAGAGATTTCAAAATAAAACCACTCTAAAAGGTGTGATGTCCCCCTGTGAGACAAAGGTGTGTCTGTGAAGTCAAGTCTGGGTTAATTAAGGAGAAACCAGCTCCCAGCAGTGGTGAGGAGCATGCTGGTCTCTGTGAATCTATTTACCAGGGAGCTCTGTCTACATGTGGAGGTGTGGTGGTTTAGTGGGTTAAAACTTATAAACAGGAGATCATGGGTTCAACTCCCAGCAGTCCCTGATTGTTACCATCACTGTATCATTGGTCATCAGTTTCTACTTTCTGCCTACCAAAGCTTCCCATCTGGCCTGCGTTTCCTTGGTGAGAGTTCCTCTCTTTAAACACACTTCCTCAAACTGTTGAATGCAAAGACTTCTCTTCCACACTGCAAGGGTTTAAGGTCAATGACAGTTTCAGGATGGATCTTTGACAGCTTCATATTTCCATTTAAATCCCAGCATGGAGGTAATTTTTTCTTCAACTATTCTTTAAACATGAACAACATGCTGCTCAGCTCCATCCATTTAAGTCAAACTGATGCTCTCTGACAACGTGTGGGAGAGAAAAGAGACTAAAAAGCTGGAAACTATCTGAGCCTCCTGACCAGATGTAATGCCAGATTCTCCTCACAGTGCTCAGTAACATGCTGATCTTGGTGAATGGCTGGCTCAACCATCTCTGGACACTTGTTGGAACTTTAGTTTTGGATTCTGTTTTTATGTGAGTTGTATTTTTCCCTGTGTGTTTCCTGTTTCTGCCTTTGTCCCATGTGTCACTCTTTGCGTCTCGTTCTCTCCGTCCTTGTCCTTAGTTATTTTTGTCCGTCCCTGAGCAAGACACTTAACCCCCATTTGCTCCAGAGGCATGTATAGCAATTGTAAGTCGCTTTGGATAAAAGCGTCAGCTAAATGTATAAATGTAAATGTAAGTAGTTCCTCATGTGGTTCACCTGTGCGCCCCCTCCCTGCTCGTTTGCCTGTGCATTTAAGCGCTCAGTTCTGTTCTGTCTTTGTTGCGTCCTCATCGTTTGTTGAGTGTTCTGCCTGAGCTCTTTCCCC